CCCCAAAACCCCAAAACCCCAAAACCCCAAAACCCCTAGGGCTCAAACCAGAATTGAGTGGGTATTATAAATAGAATTGATTATATATTTCATAATAAAGGCTTTTGTGACATATTTTCTTCAGAGTTTTCATCAATGACATCATTTTCTCAATCACAAATAGGAGTATCACCAGGGACTTTGGGAGGATTTGAATTAATTGACATGTGCCCATCAAGTATTTCAACATGAGGAGTGCTTCCTGGAGCTTCATGAGGTGCTGAAGAGGAAATTATGATTCCTTCTGAGACTCCATCTTCGATATCTGGCTCCCCTCTTAAAGTGAATCCTAAAGTTCCATCTTGTCCCGATCTAAAGCAAGTCAGATTCGCCATATTAGAGCTTACTTCTGATTCTGCTTGTTCTTCTCACTGATAATAGACTATAGTAGTTCAGATAAATTAAGCTCATCTCCAACATTGAGCCCAAGAAAACAAGCTTAGTTGCAAAGGATGAAGCAACTTTATTCAGTGAAGAGGTTATTGACTTACGAATATAGACAGGACATTCACACAGATGAGGATGCTATAGAGTAAGCAGAAAGATGTTACCATAGAAGGATCAAATGGGAAATATAGCCTAACCATCTGAGGTCAGCTGATACTCAGCTCCATGACCTTGCAAAGCAAATTATTGTGATGACTAGCAAGACCAGATTTGTTACAGCTATTCAATGGTTAGGCTTTAGTAGAGTTTTAAACACCAAAGTTAGTGAAGGGTTGGGAATCCTGAGTCCAGCTCAATCACTCAGAGCGCTAAAATGAGGGCTAGCAGTTTGATCAGAAAATCAAAGTTTGACGTAAGAAATCAATGCCCTTTTATAGCCAGAACAGTTAGGGAAGCACTTACGATTAACAGCAAATCAGCATATACGAATCATAAGCTTTGGTGCTCATAAGATAATTAAATTAAGTATCATCGAGGTCCAGATTATCAATGGGAGGATGCTCGATATTCCTCATCTATAGAACTGAGCTAGACATCGCTTACTTGTATTGAACAGTCTCTTTGATTCCGAAGAAAAGCAGATTTACTAGTATTTCAGCTATAAGGTCTCCTCCACTCATTATTAATATTAATTGTTAGTTCTTAATTCATGATTTATCCTGTGTGGGGTTTTGGGGTTTTGGGGTTTTGGGGTTTTGGGG